AGGCTTCACCTTTGCCCTGATTCCCTAGGGCTTGTATATGACAACACTGTGAAGATGTAGCCCTGCTTGTGCTGGATGAGAATATTTCTCTCCTAAGGTTATGGTTCAGGAACACCAAGAGAACTTCCATTGCTCTCCTCTCCTACCCTCATTGATACATTTAGATCTTGAAACCAATCCTGTGTTTGAAGGTCTTTCAAGAGATTCTTCTCTCAATGTGCACACTTTGACCATGTGCACACCATTATTAACCATGGCTAATAATGATCTTTCTGAGGATTCACTTCTCAAGCATTACACAGTCTTCTACATCATAATTCCTTTTATGAAAAAAATTGTATTTAGAAACTAAAGCCTTGGGTTCTAGGGGTGCCAAATGCCACTGGACTGGTCATTGTTTCTAAGCCTTTTCAGTAGACAAAGGTAAGAAATATTATTTTATTTTTTATCCTCACCGAGGACATTTTTCCATTTTTTGTTCAGAGTGAGAGAGGAAGAGAGAGAGAGAAACATCAACATGAAAGGGACACATCGAGTGGCTGCCACCCACTCAACCAACTAGGGCTGGGGACAAACTGTAACTGGGGTACATGCCCTTAGCAGGAACCGAACCCAGGTCTCTCTGGACCGCAGGCTGATGCTCTAACCGCTGAGCCAAGCCCGCCAGGGCAGAAATAGTATTTTAAAATTGAGATATAATTCTTCCTTCCCCTCTAGTTCAGCACACCATACTACTCCCATGACACTGTGCCTTTGCTCATCTTCCCTGAAATGCCGTTTTGTTCTATTCCTTGGTACTTATATTCATCCTTCAATAAATATCTCAGATAATGATTTTTCTCTAAAATAACTTGCAGTCTCCCTTTCCATAGAGAACTATACTGTTTCTATCATGTCCTACATAGTACTCTGAAATATTTTTATGTAGCACTAATGAAACTATACAATAATGATTTGTCTACATGCATGTCTCTCTCTGCCTAGAATGTCTCTCAAAGTATAGGACACTTACCATTGATGATGGTACTATCCATGGTTTTATGTTAACTGGTGCAGCATTAACTATTGAACTGCATAGTATGAGAGTCATTCCTCTTTTACATTAGGGAGAGAGTTTTAGTTTTGTGCTAGTATGGCTTTAACAGCTTTCTGTTGTGTGATTAATTTCCCTTTTTTAATTTAATTTATTGGGTTATACTGGTTAATAAAATTATACTGGTTTTAGGTATACAATTCTACAATACATCATCTGTATATTGTATTGTATATTTGCCACCCCAGTTATTTCCCTTGTTAAAGAGAGAGCTGGTCTCAGGCTTTGGAACTTTGTAGATCAAAGTAATTGGCCAGAATTTATATGTTTTGTTTTTCTTCCCCATGATATTTTCTGTGAGACTTTTAAAATTAATATTGATGATAAAGTTTTCTTTTAAAATAAAAGTGAGCTAATTTAAAGAAAAATAGTAAGCATATTATGGTAAAGAAGTGCATCATTATGGTGAAAATCTCATAGGAAATATGAAAATGGCTTAAGTCTAGGAAATACTGGGCTTAGGAGGCATAACTTATTTTTTTTCCATTCCTAGTTCCTAGTGCTATGATTAACACACATCATCACTAAACAGCTGTCAAATTAAGTTAAGAAGAAACACCCACCTCCAAATTTTCATAACTCTATCATTTTTAGTGACAGGACTTCTAAAAGCTGACTTCAATGAAAAATCTAAATAATATCTATTATTACCATATAAATGACCTTTTATTTATTTATTTTTTATCCTCACCTGAGGACATTTTTGCATTTATCTTCAGATAGAGCAGGAGGAAGAGAAGGATTGGAGAGAGAGAGAAACATCAATGTGAGAGACACATCAACTGGTTGCCACCCACACAACCCCAACAGGGGCGGGGACGAACTGCAACCGAGGCACATGCCCTTAGCGGGAACCGAGCCCAGGTCTCTCTGGTCCGCGGGCCGATGCTCTAACCCCTGAGCCAAACTGACCAGGGCATAAATGACCTTTTAAATTATTTCCTGTAGCTACAGTGAAATAAATCAAATTCATAAGAGGATACAATCCAGATCTCAGACTGGATTGTATAGAATGATGTCTAATAAAGTTCAGGGACAACAGAAGAATGTTTACAATACATTCTATACAAACCACCACATCACTCTTCAACTTCAAGGTCATGGTATATTTTAAGAAAGGGTAGAGCAGAGCAGCTCTTACTTGAGGACAGCTAGCACCACCTGTTGGGGAATGAGTTCACAGCATAAAATGATACTCTCCGGTGACTTCATTAATCCTGAATTTATATCTTCAGAGTACTTTTCATCACACAAATTTCAAAACACTCATACATATCCAAATGCAACTTGTTGTTCCACTTATTTATGCATTTATTGGATGATTCCCATATGTGCCCTAACCAGGAATCAAACCTGCAACCTTGGCATATTGGGATGACGCTCTAAGCAACTGAGCTACTCAGCCAGAGCAAAAAAAAAAAAAACTATTTATACAGGAACATGCAGATAAATATAGTTCATAGTTTGAGTCTACTAAATTTTTATGCCACTTATTATGTCAAAGAATAGGTATATTAGTAACTTTCACATCCCACCAAATCAAGTCTCTTTTCTCTGCAAGGTCAGTGTAGTTGGATTGAATGGTGGCCCCAGAAAAGATACGTCCAAGCCCTAACCCCCTTTTCTGGCCTTATTCAGAAAAGGGGTCTTTGCAGATACAATTAAAGATCTTGATAAGACTATCCTGGATTACCTGGGCCCTAAATCCACTGACAAAGGTTCTTATAAACCACTGATTTTGTGGTAATTTGTTATGCCAGCCCTGCTCTAGCAAACCAACAGTCAGCATTCCAGACTTTCCTATTATAAACACAGCCTGCTTTCCAGTCTCATTTTCCTGTTCTCTAGCTTTAGCTCCTGTTTGCCTCATTTTGTTTCCTATACTGCCTTTGCACACACTGTTCCAGTGTATGGATTGCTCTTCTTCATTCTTCAAATCTCTCTCCAAAACTTCTTCAGGGGGAAAGTTCAGTGACCCTCTAGTCATCCTTGCCAAGCCGCATAAGGTCCCCTCTTAGCATCATATAGCTTTTTTATAGTTCTTATCATAGTTTATATTGTTACTAGTGTGATTATTAGATTCTGCCTCCCTATGAAATTGTAAATTCCATGAGAATAGAAATCTTGCCCTCCCTTTCCCCGCCCCCATTATATTCCCAGTCTAGCCCTGTGCCTGTTGTGGCACAGCAATTCCTTTTTGAATGAATGGCCACTCTTCCAGAAATGTCTGCAGACCTTGGGACTTACACAACTTTTGAGTTGAATGTGGGCTAGGTAGGGTGACTACATTATTTAACCACCCAAATCGACCACTTCTGAGAATGAAAGGGGGCACTATTAATAATTACAAGTTACCTGATTACAGTCCTGGGTAACAGGCTATGCTAACCACAGGAGCAAAAGATAACTAGAAAGGGCTGGACTACAACATTTTGGAGCAAGGGGGAAAGGATAATTTAAATTTGCTTACTTGCCACCGCATTTCATTGCTGTCTTCTACGTCATGTATTCATTTGTTTATTCTTTTATTGTCCATCCTTCTTTGAGTTGGGGACTTGACCTGTTTTGTTTGTTGCTATATCCCATACCTACAATAGTTCCTGGTGTATAGTATGTGTTCAATAAACATCTGATTGAATGGTACTAACAGCTGAATAGCATGCCCTAAGGGAGTAGAGTAGTCCCCTTATTCACAGTTTTGATTTCCACGATTTCAATTACCAACTAGTCAACCATGGCCTGAAAATACAGTATGAAATTTCCCCAATCATCCACAGCATCTGCTCCTGACAGCCAATCATGACATCCTCATAGCTTGATGATCCAGGACCACCAGCAGCAGATGATCCTCCTCTGATATATGGGTACAAGGTCAATGCCAGCTGTATGCTATCTCATTCACCTCACCTCACTAAGTAGGCATTTTATCATCACAAGAAGGGTGAGTAGAGTACAATATTTTGAGAGACCAAATTCACCAAATTTTTACTACAGTATATTATAGTCTAATTTATTATTAACTATTGTTAATCTCTTATTGTGCCTAATTTATAAATTAAACTTCATCATAGGTATAAATATATAAGAAAAACAGTGGGCTTGGTACTATATACAGATTCTGAATCTGCTGGGGGCCTTTTAAGTACCCTCCCCCCATAAGAGGGGGATTGCTGTAATGAAGATTCAAAACACACACACACACACACACACACACACGTCCTCCTCACAGTTTGAAAGCCTAAGGCTCAAGACTGAAGGGACAAGGAAGCAGAACAACTGCCAAGGTCCAGGGCGGAGGATACAGGGATGAAGGCCCCAGTGCCCTTCACCTTTACCCACCCCCACCCTGTATGTTCTCTAACCCTCGGTTCACCCTACTCAGCACCTAGGACCCCTATGGCCTCCGCGCTCCTGACACTCTGACACCAACTGTCCCCACCCCGGCCTGGAGACCAGGTCTCCAGCGCTGCCCCCTCCCCGGGTACCATCGGACCCCCGGACACGAGAATAGCCCCCCCTCCGGACTAGGACCACCCCTCCCCAGGCCTCCTACGCCGTCCCCTTCTCAGATGCCGCCGAACCTCCGGACCCCGCTCCGTCCCCTTCCCCTCCCCTAGACCTGGGCCTCCAACACCTCCCCCTCCTGCATCCTCACGGCCCCTGGACTCCCGCACGGCCCCCTTCTTCGATCCCCTCGGAGCCCCGGACCCCGTGCCTCCCACTCCCCACCCCCGGCCAGGGCCTCCCGCGCCGTCGCCTCCCGGATGCCCTCGGCTCGGGCCCCACCCCCGCGTGGTCCGCTCGGACGGGCTCGCGCCGCTCAGCACCCCCCTCACGCCCGCCTCTGCGGCTGCGCGCTGGCGGGCCGAGGCCGAGGGGAGGGGGTCGCACTGGGGGCCGGCGGAGCTGTGGTGGCGGCAGCGAGAGACGAGTGAGCCCGGCGGCCGCGGGCAGGCCCGGAGGGAACGGAGGAAGCGGACATGTCTCGCTACACGAGGCCCCCCAACACCTCCCTGTTCGTCAGGAACGTCGCGGACGCCACCAGGTGAGCGGCGGCGGCCGCAGGTTGGGGTGCGGGGGAGGGGCGAGGTAACGGCCGCGTCGGGGAGCCGGGCCGCGGCCCGCCGGGTCTGCCCCGCGCCTCTCCGCCGGCCCGGCCGGTGCTTCCCGCGGAGGCGCCCTTGCCCGGGGCGGTGTGAGCCCAGCGGCTACTCGGGGCCTGGGCGGGACTCGCGCCTCCGCCCTCCCGGTCGGCGTTCCGCCGGGCGCGGCGCAGAAGCGCGTCTGCGCCGCGGTCGCCGCCCCCGGGTGGGTGCCCGTCCCCTCCCCGAGAAGCCGTGGAGCGCGGCTGCCCGTTTCCCGGTGGCCGTGGCCCTCCCGCCTCTGGCCGTGTGTGTGTTCGCTCGAGCGGGTGCCTGCGTTTCAGCCCCTTTGTCGCCATGCCGCGGGAGCGCCGCGCGTCTCTCCTGCCAGACGAAGAGGAGTGGGGATGGTGAGGGCGCTTTACCAAATATGCGTGTCTTGGCCTTCCAGTTTCCTTTCCCATCCGCTTAGATTTTATTCGTTACTCAGCTTTATACCGCACCCAAAGAATAACTTCAGTAATGAGGTTGATATGGTTTTCTTTAAAGTCCCGAATACAACATAAACACCCATTATAACGGTTTGCGTAGACTTCGCTGGTGGATTTTTGATGTTCTCAGTCTATCCCCCCACCTTGAGAAATCTGTCTACATAGTGTCTAAACATAAATCTCAAGAAATAACTTCTTCATCTAGTACTTTGTCCCTCAATAGGAGCCAGAGGGAATGACTAGGGGATGGGAGCATTAGTAGACATCTTCATTTCATTGGGTTTACTTAATTTACACCCCCCACCCCTAGCTTTCATAGGCATGCATTATCATCCTGTACATAGGGGAAAGCTGAAGACCAGAGTTGTTTTAATGACTTACCGGGGCTTCACAGCTACAAATATTTTGGAGTCCTGACTCTAGAGCCATCTGTTGTAATCATAATTTACCTTTAAGGAGTAAATGTTAAGTATTTTTTTTTATTTGATTCCTACTTTTACATATGTCACAACTAAAGACTGTGAATTAATTAATGTACTTCAATTGACATCTAAAAGATGCCTGTGTTTACATTTCTTCTCTCAACCTGTTTATCAATTAATTACATAGAAAACAGGCAAAATTTATAATTTACGTAAGGTTAAAAAAAAAAAATCCCGCAAACAGATCACTTGAATACTGAATAAGCATCATGCCTCCCCAGAGTATGTCTACAAAAAAATGAGAAGTTTCCAGTTCTGATGGCCACAAGGGCCAGCCACAGTAACAGGAATGAGTGAAGTTGTCAGGTTGTAGGACACAATAGAATGATGTGGACTGTAGCAGATGGAAAAGAATATGTGCCATCTAATGGGGACAGCAGCTGCTACCGAGCTCCAGCTGATAACTAGTAAGTAGACATTTGGACTTGTTGCCACATCTTCCTAATTGTCAAAAGAAGTCAGAAACCTGTATTTTCTGTGTGTAAATGCCCTGTTTCAAAATGTTAGCATTTATTAAGTTAAATCCTATGAAATTCCAATTTTGGTAGAATTAAAAGCTGTAAAATATTGCATTTGAGATCGTGCCTCTTGGCAGTTGTCTTCAGTTTGGCAGAAATAAACTTACAAAAATTTAAAAAAGTAAAAGGTATAAAATATTGGCAGTTTCATGTTTTAACGCTTTTTAAAAATGTTTAAACAGTGTGCAGGCCAACTAAAATATATGATACAGGTGACACACAACCTCTAATCTAGATAATCCGCCTCTGAGTAATGAAGACTGATCATTGATGTTTATTGATTTCCTTTTCCATTTTTCACCACTTCTTAATTCCTCTACTAGGGGACAATCAACATTTAGGAGGATTTTATTAATGAAATAATAATTGTTAACATTTTTTAGTACTATGAGGCAGGGGCTATACTAAAAACTACCCATATTATCTTAATTAAGTTTTCACAATAATTCTATAATACATGTTCTTTAATAATCCCATTTTACAGATAAGAAATTTAAATATAGAGAGATTAAGTATCTAGCCTAAGATTGCACAGCTGCTGAGTAGTGTTATAAAAGTAGAATCACACATGTAACCTATACTAAGCATTTTTGTACAAGGTGACATACAGTGTAAGTAAACCAGCAGTGTGACACCTAGACATTAAAATGAGCTTGAGGCTTGGCCAGTATGGCTCAGTGGTTGAGCATTGACCCATGCACCAAGAGGTTGCCGGTTTGATTCCTGATCAGGACACATGCCCGGGTTGTCGGCCTGATCCCTAGTGGAGGGCATGCAGGAGGCGGCCAGTCGATGTTCTCTCTCATTGATGTTTCTGTCTCTCTTTCCCTCTCTCTCTAATATCAATAAAGAAAAAAAAACAAAAACATTTTTTAAATGAGCTTGAAATTTATGATGCTTATAAAGGAAATCATTGGGATAAATGTGAAAACAAAACTGTGTAAAATTTATACGGTTTGATTTCAATGACATAAAAATGAAGAAAGCAAAAACTATGTATAAAAAATGAGCCTGGAAAGAAAGCCATCCATTTGAGTGATTGTCTCTTTCCTGTTTTCATATTTTATTTAGTAAAAATGTTTATGACATAGACAAATTTTATTTAAAATGTTTCTTTGAAGTGGCCATTTTAATATATATGATAAAGGATAAGACAAGAGATATTATGGGTTAGCATAAAATTTGTTAGGAATGCAGTTGAGCACAAGAACTAAAAGATTTAAAAATACATTTTACAATTTTACTATATTTCATTAGTAAAACAAGATGTGGATCAGGAAGAATATTAACTTTAATATCTTTGCTTTTTTACTGTGTAAAAGAGTAATTTAAAAAAAATCTCAGATACAGTTTTCTAATGGAACAAAGTAATGTCCAAATCCCAAATATAACATTCCCATTTTGACATGTAGTATCATGTTAGGTTGGGGAGCATAGATCAATACCTTTCTCTTGGACATACTTAGTAGTAGTCTTTGGTTACATTGCATATGAGACTATATTGATGTTAACATTGATGATGTTTAAAAAAAGCATTAAACAGAATTCAACAAGATTTCATGAATTCTATGTCTCCAAAAACTAGGAATAGATGGGGACTTCCTCATCCTGTGAAAAAGTTATAGCTAACATACTTAGTGGTAAAACTGAATGCTTTCTCCCTAATATCAGAAAAGATAAGGATGTCCACACTCATGACCTACGTTCAGTATTTTATTGCAAGTCCTTATCAGTGTAACAAGGCAAGAAAAATAAATAAAAAAAATAAATATAAAAGGTAGAAGTAAAACCTGTCCCTATTCTTAGGTGACATGTTTGTTTACATAAAACTATGGTACCTAATAATGAATTCTGGTAACTTACCAGGATACAAGGTAAACTTTATAAAATTATATTTTTTATATATTAACAGCAAACAATTGAAAATAATAAAATATTTTTAAAATTTTGCCCTAGCTGGTTTGGCTCAGCGGTTAGAGTGTCGGTCTGCAGTCCAGAGGGACCCGGGTTCAGTTCCTGCTAAGGCCATGTACCTCGGTTGCAGTTTGTCCCCGTCCCTGGTTGGGTCATGTGGGTGGCAGCCACTTGATGTGTCCCTTTCACGTCAATGTTTCTCTCTCTCTCTCTTCCCCTCTCTCCCTCCCGCTCAATCTGAATAAAAAATGGAAAAAGGTCCTCGGGTGAGGATTAAAAAAAAAAAAAAAATTCATTTATCTTAGTATTGAAAACATATTTAGGAATCATTTAACAGCAACAAAAAACCAAAATGTTAAAACCTTTGCACTGAGCCCTGGCCGGGTAGTTCATATGGTTAGAGCATTGTCTCCATACACCAACATACAAGAATCAACCAGTGAGCCCTGGGACAGGTAGTTCAGTTGGTTGGAGCATGGTACCCTACACCAAAAGGTTACAGGTTTGATTCCTTGTCAGAGTACATACCTAGGTTTCATGTTCAATCTCTGCAGAGGGAAGGCAACCAGTCGTCATTTCTCTCTCTTATACATGTTTCTCTCTCTCTCAAGTCAATAAAAAACATATCCTCAGGTGAGGATTAAAGAAAAAAACAAGGAATGCATAAATAAGTAAATAAGTGGAACAACAAATCCATGTTTCTCTCTCTCTCTTCCTCCCTCCCTCAATTTCTCTCTCCCTCCCTCCCTCCATTCCTCTCTGTCTCTCTCAAAATCAGTCAATAAAAATTAAAACAAAAAATAAACTCTTGCACTGAAAACCACAACATATTGCCAAGAGAAATGAAAAAACAACAACATAAGTCCTGGCTGGACAGCTGAGTTGGTTAGAGCATCCTTCCAATATTCCAAGGTTAGAACATCCTCCCAATATTTGATCCCTTGTCAGGGCATATACAGAGGCAACCAATGAATGCATAAATAAGGGGAACAACAGATTGATATTTCTCTTTGTCCCTCTCATAAAAAAATTAAAAATAAAATAATAAAAATACCAACACAAATCGATAGATATACCATGTTCTTGGATTGGAAGACAAAATATTTAGTTTTCAATTTCTCTCCCAAACTGATTGTTATAGATTCAAAGTATTCCTGATCAAAGGCTTTTTAAAAAAATAGAAACTGACAAGTTAATTCTAAAAATGTTAGGATCTAGAATAGCCAAAGGAGTCTTGAAAAAGGTTACTGAAGCTGGAAGATTTATACTACCTGATTTAAAGACTTGGTAAAAGATACAGTAATCAAGAAAGTGTGATCCTGGCGTAAGGATATACAAGTAGATAATTAGAATAGAATAGAGTCCATAAATAATCCACACTTACAGATCAATTGGTTTTGACAAAGGCATCAAAGCAATTTTGTGGAGAAAGGAAAGTCTTTTCAGCAAATGATGCCATAACTACTGGATATCAATATAGAAAAAAAATTAACTCTAACTTGTAGCTCACATCATAATTTGAATGAATTATCAGTTGAAATGTAAAAGATAAAACTATAAAGCTTTGAGAAGAAAACATTATAGGAGAATATATCATGATCTGGGAATAGGCAAAGATTTCTTTACAGGACAAAGAAAGCTGTTACCATAAAGAAAAAGGAATATTGATAAATTAGTTTTTATTAAAATTAAACTTTCTGTTCATTAAAACATGCCATTAGGAAAGTAAATAAGCAAGCCACACACTGAGAGAAAATAGTCACAAAGTGTATATCTGACAAAGGACTTTTTTCCGAATATATAAAGAACTTCCATAACTCAAAAGTTGAATAAAAAGAAATATTATTAAAATGGACAGAAAACTCAGCCACTTCTCAAAGAAAAATATATGAGTGGCTAATTAGCACATGAAAAAGTATTCAGTGTCATTTGTCATTAAGGAAATGCAAATTAAAACCATAGTGAGATTCCATTTAACACCCACTTGAATGGCTACAGTTAAAAAGACATAATATCAAGTGCTGACAAAGATTGGCACAGCTGAAACTCATACATTATTGGTGAGTATAAAATGATGCAACCACTTTATAGACCTGTTTGGCAGTTTTAAACAAGTTAAACCTATACATCCTCTTTAATCCAGAGGTTCTACTTCTGGGTATTAACACAAATTTAATGACCCATAAGCATGAAAAGATGTTGCACCTCCCTGTTCATTAGGTAAATTAAAATTAAAACAGTGAGGAACACATTCACTTAATATCTTTCAAAATTGCAAGTATTAAAAGTTGTTAATGAGGAGTTAGAGCAGCAAGAATTCTTATGCATATTTTGAGGAGTATAGTTTGATTTGGCCACTTTGGAGAACATGTAGTGAAGCTGAAGATACGCAAGAGAACTCTAGCAGAGCTCTAGGAAGCACGTGTATTATAATGTACACTGCGGCAGTTTGTAGTTTTAAAAAAGGAAGCATCTTAAATGTTCATGCATAGAAAGATGGGTGAATAAATTGTGGTTTATTCATAACAATATCAATTCAAAGTTAAAATGAGTAAACTAGAGCTACATGGAGAAATCTCAAGGGAAGAAAAGTAAGGTGCAAAATTATACAAATAGTCTGATACCATTAATATAAAATTGAATACATATAAAAACATGTATTTATGGATATATGCATTTGCAGTAAAAATATAAAGTTATGCAGAGGAATGGTGAACACCAATGATTGTTTCTAAGGTAGATGGATATAATGTCTCTTAAAAAATACTAAAAATTATGGCAAATAGGGCAAGTATTCAGATATGATCAGTCTTGTTGGTGACTCCATGAATGTTTGTTTTATTCCCTATACTTTTATGAGAGTCATAATAGATTACAACCAATGAAAAAATGAATGAAAACAAAACAGCTGGCGGGTGAGGTAGTAGAGACAATGAATGGGAGCCAGCTCTTTTGAGAAGATTTGTTCCTTCAGACTTCCATCACCTTAGGTTCTGCGACTCCAAGCCTCTGTGGCACACGTTGCTCCAACCTCCTTTATACGATCTAGGATCTTTTTCCTGTCAGGCACTGACATTTGGTTGATAGGATTAATTGCTTTAGAAGACATTAATTCTAGCTTGGCCGTTGGCTGTGTGTACCTCTGGGCAAAGTAACTTCTTTTACTGTCAGTCTCCTTGACTATTAAATGCTATCAATAATGTATCCTTCACTCATTAGTACAGCAAATATATATTGAACACCTACTGTGTGCCAGGCAACTAAGCTAGGTACTGAGATACTACACTGGTGAAGACACATGCTTTAGAAGTGATTCCCAACCTTGAGTTGTAGAATTGCCTATAAAGGCCTTTAAAAAATTAATAACTGGGACTCGTCTTAGGAAGCACTAATTAGGTCCAGGGTTAATGCATCACACTGGAGTGCCTGTTTCTATAACACCCTTTTCACAAATGATTTCAATATTCAGGAATGGTTGAGAATTTTTACCCTGTTGTCTATGTTTTATGGGAGCAGGAATAGTATTTGTCTTGTTCTCCACCATACCATAGAGCCTAGCCCATAATTCTCAAAAAGTATTTGTCAAATGAATAAGTAAAAGAAAAAGACATTGTCACTGTCCTCTAAAGCAAGTAGTCTCTCAGGGAAGGCAGACAAACATGTTATAATGAGTAATGAATGAAATTAAAATACTAAATTATAAAAATATAATAAAGTATGTCTTAGTATTGACTGCAGTGCCTGGCATGTAGTGGCTACGTAATCAGTGTTAGTTGAATCTTTATGTAATAATTCCTAAATCCACATCTCTAGCTTTAATCATTGATTTCTCTTCTAGTCTTGAGAGGAAAATGAAATTAATTAATAAAATTTGTATAATCACAATTTTCAGTTGCTTATAGAACTCTAATGGATGTTTCACCATCATCTCAAATTTTGAATTTCTAAACCTGAAAGCTACTTTTGCCTCTTTTCTCCCTCTTATTCTCTTTTCCAGCTACCTAATTTTTGCCACTGACACCACCTTTCTTCCATTTACCCAAGCTAGGACCTTTGCAGTCATCTTTTAGTCTTTTTTCTCTACAATGTTTTGAAGTACTCTTATTTCTTCTGAGCCATGTTTTATGCCCATAGCTTGATGCTGAATCTCTTAAGATCTTCATGAGGCAATGCACTGTATGGTTAAGAACACAGACTAACACTGCCTGTTTAGTTCAGTTGGTTAGAGTGTTGTTCTGACACATCAAGGTTGCAGGTTCAACCCCTGGTCAGGGCACATACAAGAATCAACCAAAGAATGAGTAAATAAGTGGAACAACACATTCAGTGTTTCTCTCTTCGTCTCTCTCTCTCAAATCAATCAATAAATCAATAAAGAACACAGACTAGTATCAGACTGTGGGAATTTGATTCCAGCTCTGTTACTTGCTGGCTCGTGACCTTAGGTGAGTTCATCTGTCTGTGCCCTCATCTGTAAATAACCATAGAGCTATTGTGAGAATTAAGTGGCCTTAAGGTGAGCAAAGGCTAGCATATAAATTACACTGTAACTGTCAGCCATCAATGCTAAGTATTTTGTCTCTTCAGTTAAATTGTAGCACTACGAAGACAAATATGCTATGTATTTCTTTGGTACCCCCTCTTTAATACCTATCACAGTAGAAGGCATATAGGAGGCTCAAAAATACTTATCAAATATGAGAATATAGTCGTTATTTTGCTTTATGTTTAACAGTAAAAGATCCATTTTTCGCCTGGACAGTGTAGCTCAGTGGTTGAGTGTCGATCCATGCACTAAGAGGTCACCTGTTCAATTCCCGGTCAGGGCACATGCCCAGGTTGTGGGCCTGATCCCCAATGTGGGGCATGCAGGAGGTGGCCATTCGATGTTTTCTCTCATCGATGTTTCTATCTCTCTCTCTAAAATCAATAAAGAAAAAAATCCATTTTTCTTTAAAGCCCGAGAAAAGATTTTAAAGACTTCTTTAATATTTAATTCTTGTGCACTGAAAGCAAAATTAACATAAACATGAAATTATAGTGACGCAAATGTGTTCCTAATGAAATAGTTAATAGTTAGAACTGTTTATATGACAATTGAAAAATCTTGTAATAGGAATAACTTTCAAGGGTGGATGTGGGCCAGTGTTTCCCTAACCTGATTAGGCATTACAGCCACTGGCAGTGCTTGTAAAAATACAGATTTCCAGCCCCTAATCCAGACATCTTGAACAAGTATCTTTGAAAGTGAGGCCTAATAATCTTTCTTCTTTTTTGTTTTCCTTCATTTGTAAACCCTGGGTGAGTCTTATGAGAGACAATATTAGATAATGTTAGTCTAGATAATGTACTTGCTTTTAAGGGTTTCAACTGGATTTCTCTAGGCATGATATTTTAATCCAGCTGTTCATATTTCTTTGCCTTATTTCTAAAACAATTCAGGCCTGAGGACTTGCGCCGTGAGTTTGGTCGGTATGGCCCTATAGTAGACGTTTACATTCCACTTGACTTCTACACCCGCCGCCCAAGAGGATTTGCTTATGTTCAATATCCTTTATTTTACTGTGTGTGCATGTGAATATACTACATACATGTGCATATTACATATATGTATTCAGGAGCATATGTTATGAGATTAATATTGCCTAATTAAAATGTGTTTATTTCTTTATCTCAGAAAATCTAAAGCAGTCCACAGTAGCTGGCAAGCGCCCCCCAGTTTGAACCAACTTGTTAGCTAGAATTCAAGCATAAACCGAGCAGGCGAGACAAAAGGCACCTAAAGTTCAAGCATCAAGGAGTAAAGAGGGAGGGTGGACACAGATATAAAGACCTGGAAGAGGGGAAGTCTTTATCAAGCAAAAGACAAAGCCAACACCAGGTCGAGACTTCGGCTTTCCTACATTTACTCAGAGTTCCAGAGTCAAAGCCAAGTCTGATTTTGTTGGTTCTTCGTCTCTTTTAAAGTCCATCTTGCAAGCCTTAAAGAGGTCAAGGTTCAAGATCAAGTGACATTGAGGTAATTGCCAAAGTCTCATTTTGTATTGTATTTCTTGAGCTTTTTCTGTTTTCTATTTAAAAAAAAAATTAAACCAGTGAATAACCTCCTGAAATACAGCTATTCATTTTATATAGCTTATTTCTATTTTAGTTAGGTTTAATATATAATTTACATAGATAAGAGAGTTTAGTGGGTTATTAAAAACCAGTATATGTAATTCCAGATGTTTATAGATTGCTTTTGTTTTTTTTTTATACCCCAAGTAATAAAAGTATAAAGATATTTTAAAGCTGTAGCTTCAAAGGTAAATATCATTTTTAAAGGACTAAATCAGTTTTGAAAATATATTTTACCTCATTTATGTGTGTATATATTGCTTATAAGTAATTGCTCCAAAATGTCATAATTAAAAAGCTTTTTACTGAAAGAGTAATTTAAATTTCAGAATACAGGCTTCTGCATGCTAATTTTTTTCAGTGAAAAACCTGAAGAATTGTTTACCTGAAAGAAGGAAGTAAGTCCTAGCCAATGTTGGACTTATTTTTTTTTCTCATTACATGTTTGAAATTATATATGCATGTGACAACTTACACTAATGTATACATTAAAAGTATAGTTGCACAATTGTTTCTTTTTCTTTTTAGAGTCATTCTTTTAAGTCATAATGGGCATTTGTTTTCATAATAAAAGTGAAATTTTTTTCTGATTACTTATATTGTAGATGTGAGCTTAATAACTTGAACTTGTTAATTTCCTGTTACATAAATAATTCTTTAAAAATAACATTTTTACTTGATATCTGATATTCAAAGTGTCCTTAACAGCTAGTCATATTTGAAGATGTTCGTGATGCTGAAGATGCTCTTTATAACCTCAATAGGAAGTGGGTATGTGGCCGTCAAATTGAAATACAGTTTGCACAAGGTGATCGCAAAAGTAAGTGTGACTAAATGTTAGATCTTGTTTATTCAACAGAATGAGTTTTAGCAGTGACAGATTTTTTAGTTTAAAATTCTGTCAGAAAATAATTACTATTTGAGTGGCTATGACTGAGGTTTTCAGGTAATGAATTATAAGTCTTGCACTTCATATTCTAGCACCAGGCCAAATGAAATCAAAAGAACGTCACCCTTGTTCTCCAAGTGATCATAGGAGGTCAAGAAGCCCCAGCCAACGGCGAACTCGAAGTAGAAGTTCTTCATGGGGAAGAAATAGGAGGCGGTCTGATAGCCTTAAAGAGTGAGTATAAAATACAAGAGGAGTAAAAACTTAATTTTCTACTTTTTCTGGAAAACATTTTAAAGAGCTTTGAAAAACAGGCCACCGGAATCATTTTGTTTAATATTCATAAAGAATCATCTTTTATCGAATCATTTTTCTACACTGAATACCTTCCAGTGTTTTTATTTCATGACAGAATAAGGCTTTTTATTTTATTTTTTTTCTCTTTCTTCTGGGGATTTGGGGATTTAACTTTTTTTTTTTTTTTTTTCATCCTCACCCAAGGACATTTTTGCATTTATCTTCAGTTATAGCAGGAGGGAGAGATGGAGGAAGAGAGAGACAGAAACACTGATTTGAGAGAGACACATCGAGTAGTTGCCACCCACACGACCCTAACCGGGGCAGGGGACAAACTACAACCAAGGCACGTGCCCTTAGCGGGAACTGAACCCAGGACTCTCTGGTCCACGGGCCGACGCTCCAACTGCTGAGCCAAACTGGCCAGGGCAAGGGGGATTTAACTTTTTATTTTATTTATTTATTTATTTTATTTATTTATTTTTTTATCCTCACCCGAGGATATTTTTCCATTTTTTGTACAGACAGAGTGGGAGGGAGAGAGAGGAAGGGAGAGAGAGAGAGAAACATCGACGTGAAGGGACACATCGAGTGGCTGCCACCCGCACGACCAACCAGGGCCGGGGACAAACTGCAACCGAAGTACGTGCCCTTAGCGGGAACCGAACCCGGGTCTCTCCAGACCGCAGGCCGACGCTCTAACTGCTGAGCCAAACTGGCCAGGGCGGGATTTAACTTTTTAATGAAAAAAATATATATAGAAAAAAAGCAAAATATTAAAAATACCTGACAAATCGAAGTGAAGAATTATAAATAAATAAAAATTTCCTAAATGAACTCAACAATTAAGAATGTTGCGTTCTGCCTGGCTGGTGTGGCTCAGTGGATTGAGTGGCATCCCATGGACTAAGAGGTCCCAGTTCGATTCCTGGTCAGGGCACATGCCCAGATTGTGGGGCTTGATCCCCACTAGGGACTGTACAGTTGATCAATGTTTCTCTCTCACATTGATGTTTCTATCTCTTTCTAAAAAATCAATAAAAACGTATTTAAAAAGAAAAGAATGTTGAGTTCTGCCCTGGCCATTGTGGTTCAATTGGTTGGGATTCCTGGTAAGGGCACTTGCCCAGATTACAGGTTTGATCCCCAGTAGGGGGCATGTAAGAGGCACCTGATTGATGGTAGGATCTCACATTGATGTTTCTATCTCTCTCCTTCTAAAAATCAATTTAAAAGTGATTTAAAGAATGTTGAGTTCTGGGGAAGGTGGTTGACACTAAAATGAATGTAAATCAATATATTTATAAAAAGTAAGTTATTTTCAAGAATAAATTCCAGCCCTGGATGGTTTGGCTTAGTGGTTGGAGCATCAGCCCTCCGACCAAAGGGTCCCATGTTAGATTCCTGGTCAAGGGTACTACCTGGGCTGTGTGTTTGATTCCCCAGCCCCAGTTGGTGTCTTGTGGGAGGCAACCAGTCAATGTGTCTCTCTCATGTCAATGTTTCTCTTTCTCTCTCTCCCTCCCACTCTATCTGAACAAAAAATGGAAAAATGTCCTCAGGTGAGGATAAAAAAAATATAGTAAAATTTTCAGGAAAAGGTATTTGCACATTACCTATTTTGTTAGCCAGGAATTTGTTTCTGTTAGAATAATAGTAAATCACAATGGAAATTAATAACTGGTGAAGTTATTTAAATAAAAAAAAATTGTATTAGCATGCCTAAGTTCTTAAACATTTATACTATTTATCTTAAGTATTAGTGGTGAAATTTTTTCATAGAAAATTTAATGTAGAATTTAAGGTAAATTCTGTTCTTAAAGAATGTTCAGCATTTAGACTAGTATCTTCTTTCTGTGAATAATAAGAGTTAGCTCTCCTGGACTGCAAGGTAAATAGGCCCACTTAGTTTAGAATCAAAGCTGATCACCAAGACTGCCCACTTTCACTCCAGTCCCCAATGTCTCAGCTCTTTTTCTAAATTCAGTCCCTCCATCACACTTGCCACTTATTTACTTCCTCACCCAAGGATATGTTTATTGATTTTTAGAGAGGGGAAGGGAGAGAGAGAGAGAAACATCAATCGGTTGCCTCCTGTACACGCCCAACTGGGGATCAAGCCTGGAACCCAGTCAAACCAGGACCTCTCAGTTCATGGGACAACAGTCCACTGAGCCACAACAGCTGGGCTCAGCTGGCATTCTTAATGTTGCTTTTTTGAAGTTAATATATTTTATTTTGAGCAGATTTTCATATTTTTCTCTCTGACTTTGGTTTTCAGCAATTTCATTGTGATATGCCTTGTGTAGTTTTCTTTGTACTTATTCTGCCTGGGGTTTTCTGAGCTTTTCAAAATGTGAGTTAGTGCTTTTTATTAGTTTTGGAAAATTCTAGGACATTATCTCTTCAGATACTGCTTCTGCCTTATTCAGTTTTTCCTTTTTGGCCATGTGACTATGATCCAAATATCTCTCATGCTCTGTTCTGGATTTCTTAAAATTCCTTTTATCTTACTGTGTTTCAGTATAATGTTTTTATAATCATCTGTTTTTCATTTCAGTTCACATTTCTTCTGTTGTATCTAGATTACTGTTAAATCCACTTAGTGACTTTAATTTCAGATATACATATTTTAGTTCAAAAATGTTTATTTGTTTTATTTTATAGAGTCCAAAATTCTTTTGAAATTCTCCATCTTTTTCATCTATTTTGTCTTTTTCTCTTATTTTTTAAAACATATTAGTGATTTTTAAAATTCCAGTCTGAATAACACTAATATCCAAATTATTTTTGGTCTAGTTACTTTGTCTTTTAGTTTTCTTAGTTTTAGTCATTTTAATCTATTTTACACATACCTTACAATTTTTTTATTGGATGTTGGATATTGTTGATGAAAAATTTTAGCAGCTTTTGATGCCATCATCCTCCAAAGAAAGTTGTTTTCTTCTGGCAGGCAGAGTATTGGCAGAACACCTTGACCCTTTCGAGGCTTAGTTTGAGGCACTGTTAAGGCTGATTTGTTTAGCTTTACATTTATTGTTAGGGAATGGCCCTTAACTGTAGGATACCACCCTTCTGGGTTCTTAATTGGAAGCCTAGGTTATTATTTATGACTCCTTGACCTTTTGGGGTCTTGAAGTCCAGCCTCTGTCCCTAGCATTATGTGTCTGATAAAATTTCAGCTCAGTTATTGAATCTTTCAGCTGCAGGTTTTTACTGACCTCTTGGGAGTCTCATCCTGTGCATGCACAGCTTAGAAGATGGCCAGTGACCTGAGAATATATAGGCAGATTTTAGGTATTTTGTTTTGTTTTTGTCTGCAATTCTTTCATCTCTGGAATTTTGCCTGTCAAATCCCAGCCACTTTGATAGCCCTGAATTCTAACCTCTGTCTCTTCAACTTAATCAAATAGCCTTTTTCTAATTGGGTTCAATTTCCCATGCTGGCATTAGGAAAATGGTGTGAGTAAAAGAGCCGTTATATCCCCTCATGTTCTGCTTGTGTTGGTTATTCTTCAGTGCCTTCAAACAGTTGTTTAATAAATGTTGTCTAGCTTTTTTTTTAAACTTTTTTTTTAAATTGAACTTACTGGAGTGACATTGGTTAATAAAATTACATAGGTTTCAGGTGTACAATTCTATATCATCTATATATTGTATGTTTACCACCCCAAGTCACGTCTCCTTCCATCACCATTTGTCTGGCTTTTTATGTAGCTATTTTCTATGGAAAGATTAATCTAGTACAAGCTGTTTTATCATGGCAGAATTCAGAAGTCCTGCATCTAGGTTTTTGTTGTTATAAGCATTATTTGATGAACTTTAAATAATTATTTTCTTTCTCTCTCTCTTACATTTTTTTCCTTCAGATTTTCATACCTCTTAGGAGTGTGTAATCCAGACTAAACATGCAGGACATTTTTCAGAACCGATTCATGTCACAAGATATATCTAGCAAAGTAAAAATATTTTGGTTATATATTTTAGTGTAACATAATGAAATAGAATTGTTTCTTTTAACTTAGCCAATGAAAACATAACTAATAGTATGTAACTTATATAATTTCCTGCAACGTTTTTTCCTAATCTAGTAACTATTTTTGTGTGAAATATATACTCTAACATTGTGGATGTTTGCAGGTCTCGACACAGGCGATTTTCTTATAGCCAGTCTAAATCTCGCTCCAAATCACTACCAAGGCGGTCTACCTCAGCAAGGCAGTCAAGAACTCCAAGAAGGAATTCTGGTTCTAGAGGACGATCAAGGTCTAAGTCCTTAGAAAAAAGGTCCAAGTCAATAGGAAAATCACAATCAAGTTCACCTCAAAAGCAGACTAGCTCAGGAACAAAATCAAGATCACATGGAAGACATTCTGACTCCATAGCAAGATCCCCATGTAAATCTCCTAAAGGGTATACTAATTCTGAAACTAAAGCACAAACAGCAAAACATTCTCATTTTCGATCACATTCCAGATCTCGGAGTTATCGTCATAAAAACAGTTGGTGAACAACAAGAGAAGAGCGCTAGGTAGTCTTTAAAATAAGTTATTAAAACTCTCATTATGTTAAATAAAAATTCTTCAAGGCTTATAGAAATGTGAGTTGATATTAGTTACTTTGGGCATGTGCAAGAAATAAAATCTCTGTAGCTTTGGGTTACTAAAGATTTGATCTCAGTTTAAGGGCCCACACTACAAATTATGATGTGTCTAATGTCACCATTTTATGGACCATTTTTTGTTTACATTGTAGCAGAAGGATACTTTTCAAAGGAAATGAGTAAAATGGAACTAATTTACAAAATGCTACTTGGATATTAAGTACAGTAGTTTCCCCTTATCCCAGGGGATATATTCAAAACCCTCCCGGTTCAATGCCTGAAACCACATACTGTACCAAACTCTATATATACAATGTTTTTTCCTATACATACATACCTATGATAATGATTAATTTATAAATTAGGCACAGTAAGAGATAAACAACAGTAACTAATAAAAAATAGAATACTTACAATAATATACCATAATAAAAGTTATGTGAATGTGGTCTCTTAAAATATTGTACTGTCCTCACTCTTCTTTTGATGATGTGAGATGATTACAATGTCTATGTGATGGGACAAAGTGAGGTTCTCAGAACTGCATGCAACTTAAAACCTATTGTTTATTTCTGGAATTTTCCATTTAGTATTTTTGGATCACAGTTGATCATGCGTAACTGAAACTGGAAAGCAAAACCATGGATAAGGGGTGACTACTGTATTAGTAATACTAATAATATCTTTTACAAAAATATTTTTTACTTTAAATCACTTTCATATAAAAGGTAATTATGGCTGTATAATTGTATAGGGCAGACTTAAACTATTTGACACCTATGTCTCTTTTGTGTCTACTGTTTGAACTTGGGCCAATTCCTGGTGGATATTATTAGTTCACATTATAAAATTCTGACATTCTGAAAGGTTGAATTTGTATAGAAATCAAGTATTCGAAAGATAGAATCTCTCCTAAGCTCAAAAAAGGTTTTATTTTTATTGGGTGGAAAAGCATAGGTAAGTTGACATTAAATTGCATCCTGTACTACATTCATTCACTTCAGAAATAGAACATTTTTTAAAACAAATAGAACAAATACTGAATTTTGAATAGTTTGAGACTATTCTAAAAATCGTGTGCAACACTCATAGTCCAAAAATATTCATATTAAGCCTTATCTATTTAAAGAGTGGTACATTTTGTATGAAAATCATATTTTATACCATTATTTCTACATACCTAATTTTCACCTACTGCTTATTTTTTTTCATTTTAGAGCTCTAGGTTAAGACTTCAAGTTGTATAGACTATGTCATAATTACTTTTGAAAGTGTTTAGTACCTTGTATTAAGAAACTCAAGACTGCATCCTAAAAAACAACTTTTCAGTATTCGGATTTACATTACATTGCCCTTTATTTTTTAAACCAAATAACTTTATTGCTATTAATTGCTTTTGTAGTTGTTAAAACAGAATTTCTTTAAAATGTGTTTGTAGTTTACGTTTTTCAGAGGGTTTTGGTAGTATTTGTGATAAATATGATTATTATAGGGGATATATTTATAGAGTTCTACCTGTGTACCTTGTTGAATTATATTGAAAATTAAAAAGTTTTCAGCCCATACAGGTAATATTTGTATCTCGAGTGCTTGAGAAAAAAAGTCTCTTATAGTTTCAGCATATAGGGAGCCAGTGTTGCTTCTATCAGTTTTGCATACAAATTTCATTTTTCTTTACATTTTAGATCCTATGTGTAAGAAGAAACTTTACAAAATAATTTTTATGTTCTTGTAATATTTGGGCAAGTACTATAAATACATGTATACTGTACTTCCTGAATAGAAGTTCTCTATTTAATCATAGCAAAAGTTATTTCAAAACTACAACTCTTTGAAGTGTTCATTTGTAATAAAATTTAGTTATAAAATTATGTGGCACTATTGAAAATTTAAAATAGTCTGAAGAAGGAGTAAGACATTATTAATAATTTTTTATATTTTCTAAATAAATGTTTGGGTTTACACACACACATATGTAGTCATTCTAGATACTAACAAAACTTTTTTGAGCATATAACTGCTCAGCACTGGCTCTGTAAGTTTTACATTATTCACTCATCCTCACAATAGCTTTATGAGCTAATACCTCTGCAGATACAGAAAGTGAGAAGTAGAGAGGTTAAATGGCATGCACAAGGTCAGCAGCTATTAGACTTTGGAAATGGAAGCGTACACGGTTGGGCTCCAGACTGCCTCTCCCTGACTACTAGCTGTGTCTTTTTGGAATAGAATGTCTTTGACTGATACATGCTAAACTAAGGTAATGTTTGAAGGGAAAAGAGAATAGAATTAGGGAAAGATTTAAAATGATTGTAGGCTTCAATGAAAATAGGTTCCATGACTCGAGTAGAAATTGATTGGAAATTGTACTGGTACCCAGGAAAATTGTCTTCTGGATATATCTATGCTAGGGTTCACTTTTTTTCTTTTTATCCTCGCCCTGAGGATATTTTTGCATTTATCTTCAGAAACTGCAGGAGGGAGGGAGAGAGAAACATCGATGTGAGAGAGACATTGATTGGTTGCCACCCACACAAGCCCAACCAGGGCTGGGGACGAACTGCAACCGAGGTACGTGTCCTTAGCTGTAACCAAACCCGGGACTCCCTAGTCCGCAGGCCAGTGCTCTAACCGCTGAGCCAAACCGGCCAGGGCTAGGGTTCACTTTTGTTACAGAAAGATTTCTTGGACTACTTAAGAGAGAATGCTTAGTGTAATGTTGTTAATAAATAAAGCAAATGTTTTACACATCTGTAATAATTTTCTTTAATATGTTGAGCCCAGCCAGTGTGGCTCAGTGGTTGAACTTTGACCCATGCACCAAGAGGTCGCTGGTTCGATTCCCAGTCAGGGCACATGCCCAGGTTGTGGGCCTGATCCCCAGTAGGGGGCATGCAGGAGGCAGCCAGTTGATGCTCTCTCTCTATGATGTCTCTCTCAAAATCAATAAAGAAAAAAAAATTTTTTTAAATGTTGATTCAGGTACTTCCCAAGTTCAGTGTAGGGCACTACCTACCTCTATTTGTTCACAAAGATAAAGGGTAAGTTAATAAAATAAAGATGGCCACTAGAACTGCCTGTTTTCTTTCTCCCCATGAATGATACAATTTCTGTATAGCGGCTGATATTTTGAAGCTGCAAACACGCAATAGGGGAATATACCAGCTTTTTTATTTAGAGCCAAGGATTTAATCTTGGGCCACTGGGTTTATTTTATTTTTGTTAATCCTCATCTAAGGATATTTTTCCATTGATTTTTAGTGGAAAGGGAGAAGGGCTGAGAGAGGGAAACTGGTGTGAGAGAGAGACATCAACTGGTTGCCTCCCACATGACTCCCAACGGGGGCCAGGGATTGAACCTGCAACCCAGACATGTGCCCTTGACCAGGAATTGAACCCATGACCCTTCAGTCCTTAGGCTGACACTGTAACCTCTGAGCCAAACTGGCCAGGGGGACAAATTTATTTTTAAATAAGTTATTGTCCTGGCTGGAGCGGTTAGAGCATTGGCCTGCAGACCAGAGAGACCTGGCTGGGTTCATTCCCACTAAGGGCACATACCTCAGTTGCAGTTTGTCCTCAGCTCCGATTGGGGTTGTGTGGGTGGCAATCACTCGATGTGTCTCTCTCACATCAATGTTTCTCTCTTCCTCCCACTCTATCTGAATGAAGATAAATGCAAAAAATATCCTTGGGTGAGGATAAAAAAAAATTTTTAATGTAAGTTATTTCAGGACCTTAGATATTATTTGTGGTTTACTTGAGATACAACTATTCTAAGACATACTGTTGTATTGCAAATTAATAAGAATTTTTGCCTTTATTCTAATCCTATTGCAAGAAGCATAATTAGTTCAAGTATAAAGGAAGAAGTATTTGGAAGTATTTTATCATTCTTCTAAGCTACAATAAAGTTGTGATTTCTTAGAGTTAAAAATTAATTTATCTTCCAAACAGGGTGGTAGCATATTTGAGGTCTTAATATAGATAAGTATATTCTACTCATGCAGCACGGTCTGGTACAGAGGATCGTAACCTGTCATCATGGAACCAAAGCTTCAGGTCTAGGCTTTGTGGTTTTTCAAACAAGTCCATGACTCCCAAGAGGACCAGTGGTTCAGTGAGCTGTATGGGTTGGAGTCAGAACTCATATATATTTGATTAAAAAAACATTTTCAAGCCCTAACCTGGTTGACTCAGCAGTTAGAGCATCAGCCGGGGGACCAAAGGGTCTCAAGTTCAATTCCCGGTCAAGAGCACATAACTGGGTTGCAGGTTCAACCCCTAGCCCCGATTGGGGTCCTGTGGGAGGCAACTAATTGATGTCTCTCTCTCACATCGATGTTTCTGTCCCCCTCCCTCCCACTCGATCTAAAAAAATTTTTTTTTCAAGTAATACATGAAGACTATGCACCTTAGCATCTAAATCACTCCCTTGATTAATAAAAAAAAATAGATATTTAGGATCATTGCATTAACTCTGGCATTGGCCTACCAGGTTGATTTAGGCCCTCAGAAAAATACCTTGTATACCTTTTAAAAGATGTTCACAAATTAAATATAAACATAATGGAGTCAAAAACCTTTTTAGAAAAATATTCCCTGACAGAAGTGTTAATGATATGCCAGGTTTATGCAACTTCTCTTAAGTTAAAATAATACTTTGATAGTATTTTCCCCGAATTCTGTTTTGTGGAAAGGGTTATATAATTAGTATTTCTTGAGTTTATATTCTGGGAATATACCACAACCTAAACTTACAAAAATATTAATTTGTGGAGCTGGATGGATGCTCAGTAGGTTGATGGTTACCATTTTTTAAAAGTGTGATTTTAAGTGTATATTTGGTTCACGTAGTTCAATATTTAACCTACATCTGCTATTTTATAAACTACATTATAAACTTGTTTATAAAATAGATTACAAATTAAAATCAAGAATATCAGGTTTCGCCCTGGCCAGTTAGGCTCAGCTGTGGAG